TTTATTTTATGTGTATGAGTGTATTGCTTGCATGTGTGTAAGTGCATTCATGTTGTGCAATGCCTGTGGAGGTTAGAGGAAGGTGTCAGATCTCAAACCTGGGTCCTCTGCAAGAGTAGTCAGTGCTCTTAACTTCTAAGCCATGTCTCCAGCTCAAAAGCTGAATAATATTCTATTGCATGTATATACGTATATTTAACATGAACATCTACATTAAATATCTACATTAAAGACACTTAACTTAAACTTTGTTTTTTGAGATAAGGTCTGACTATGTAGCCCTGGCTGGCCTGAGACTTGCTATGTAGACCAGGCTGGCCTCAAACTCACTGAGATCTGCCTGCTTCTGCTTAAGTGCTGAGACTAAAGGCTTGTGCAGCTATGCCCAACCTTCATAAACTTAAACATTTTTAATTACTTTATTATTATTATTATTATTATTATTGTGTGAATGCAGGAATGTATACATGCCACCATGCACATATGGAGATCAGAGAACAGCTTTTGGAAGTTGGTTCTGTCCTTCCAGTATGGGTTCCGAGGAGTGAACTCAGGTTATCAGGCTTGCATGGCAAATGCTTTTACCCCTGAGCCATTTCATTGGCTCTTAATAAGCTTTTATTGAGGGTGATATAGCTAGATCCCTAGCTGGAGAGAGCGGCACAGATGGATTGAGTTTGATGGGACAGGTAGTTGTAAATTGTTTGAGTGCCCAGTGTCTGTCGAGGAGCCCCTGCATTCATTTGGTCAGTGTTAAATCCAAGTCCTTGATAGTAAGCAAAAGGATTTTCTTCAGAGCACTAACTTTATCGTTGCGTTGCCTTTGTTCTGTTTCATGCTTGGAAATCTCATTGTTTAGGTCTCGGACAGGTTTATTTGACAAAGGTGTGATCAACGGTGCTAACAGACCTCCCAAAGTAAGTTACAGATTAACAATCACATCCTGTACATTTTCTCTTTACTAGTGGGAATATTTTTGCCTTTAACACTATTCTTCAGGGTCAGCGTAATCTGAATAACAAGGCTGATAAGAACTGTCTAGTATTGGGTCCTTCCTGTCAGCTTGGCTCTGTCTAATGACTTTATATCCTTTTTTTTAGAAATCCCACACATGTGGGATTGAAATATGGAGGTCTGGAGTAGATGAGCATGCCCAACTGCTCATTAAGCATTATTGTTTCACATTCCATAGACCACTGGAATGCAGACCTTAGGTAGGTCTTAAGGTCATCTAGTCCCATGCTGGAATGCAGATCTGAAGTGGGCCTTAAGGTCATCTAGCCTCATGACTTTCAAACTGTTAAAATATGATCCATAGTAAGAAATAGATTTTTACATAAATATATAAAATGTCACAATGAGATCCATTATATTTTATGCTAACTAAAAGTTAATAATAAAAATAGTTTTTACAGAGAGAAGATCATGGAATAAACTTTACCTGCACTCTAGAGGAAGCAATTGGATATTTTCTGTCCTGTGCTAGTTTGTTTCTTTTGTTTTTGTTTTGTTTTGACACAGGGTCTCCTGTAGCCAAGGCAACCCTTGAACTCACTATATAACTAAGGCTGGCCTTGAAGTCCTGATCTTTCTGCCTCTGCATCCAAGTTCTGGAATTATAGGCATAACCCACCACATCTAGCTCTATTTCCTTTTTAAACAGTTGTAATTCATAAAATACGTTTTTATGACTTATGAATAAGTCACAGTTGTAGTTTAAAGAACAGTACTGTGGTCTCTCCCATGCATCTCACAGTTGAGAACACAGAGCCCATATAGAGGTCATTGGCTGAGGTGTGTGGCCAGGAGAAGCATAGTGAAATTAGAACTTTAGGAAGAACCCCTTTTTCTTGCCTATAAGGCGAATGAAAGAACATGAATCTCAAAGGGAATTAAATCAGAATTCCAATGTAGTGAGAGGCAGAAGCAAGAGACATGAGTGAGGGCTCAGGAGACAGCTCAGTCAGTCAAGTGCTTGCCACATAAGAATGAAGCCATGAGTTCAGATATCCAGAACCTATGTAAAAAGCCAAGCTAGTGGTGCACTGGGGATATGGAGACAGGAGGATCCTTGGGGCTTGCTAACCAGCTAATCTAGTCAAATGGCAAGCTCCAGATTAGTCAGAGGCCTGGCCTCAAAAAATAAGGAGGGATGGCTCAGCGGTTTAGAGCATTTTCTGCTCTTACAGAGGACCCAGGTTCAGTTCCCAGGACCTACATGGTGGCTAACCACCATCCGAAACTCCAGTTCCAGGGGATCTGATGCCCTCTTCTGGCCTCTGCAAGTGTTGCACAACATGAGTGCACTTATATACACGCAGGCAAGATGCTCATATGCATAAAATAAAAACAAACTGAAATAAAAACATAATGTGGAAAGTGACAGAGGAAGATATTTGGTGCCAACCTCTGGCTTCTGCATGCATATGTTTGAACATGAACGCACACAAACACATATACTTGTGTAACACACACAGATGGTGACTTTCCTTTCTGTCTGGCCTTCTGCCGCTTGCTGCCTGCTAGTCTTTGCAGTCCTACTGGAGACCTTTTTGTTTTTCATGAGATGAGTGACTGTTCAGTATCATGTGGTGGTGAATGGAAGAGACGAGGAGATAATAGGTGGGTCCTCCTTAGAACTAAAGCACTAGGCTCAATTATTTTTAAAGATTTTATTTATTTTTATTTTATGTGTATGAATGTTTTGTCTGTATGTACGTAAGTACATTACATGCATGCCTGGTGCCCAAGGAGGCCAGAAGAGAATGTCAGATCACCTAGAACCGAAGTTATGCACAATTGTTAGCCACCTTGTGGATGCTAGGACCTGAATTGGGGTCCTCTGCAAAAGTAGCCACTGCTCTTAACTGCTGAGTCATCTCCCCAGTACTAGCCATCTTCTGTCATCTTCTGAGTCACCAAACTTTTGGGTTAACATAATAATGCAGCGTTTGGTACTGAGTTCCAGCTGGAGGCTGGTACCTCAGACTGTATCTTTACATCTTTCTCTTAGCTTTCAGTGTTGAATTTGAATGAGGTAAAACTTCCTTTCTGTGAAGGTGTCGGAAACATGGTTGTAACCTGGATTCCAGGAGAAACAGAGAAGACTGCCAGGTAAGTATAGAGTCGAGGATTTGGAGGCCTTTGACACCTGCTCTCTTCAAATTCTGGCAGTCCTCTGCAGGTCTCCTTTTTGTGATTTCCCTTTAGCTACCTCATTGTAGGTAGCAGGAGGCCAAGTACAAAAGGTAGTCATGGTCTCTCACCTCTGCCTCTTCCTACCCCGGAATTCTGTTTTAGTGAACTTTGAGATTCATGCTGTGGGACTTTGCTATATCAAATTCTACATGGGTGTAAGCAGCATATAAAACGCGGCCCAATCCATTTATTTATATCTTTTACATTTTTAACATTGTTTTCCCATATGTATTCCATAGCACAGATGTGCAGAAGTTGGTTCTCCTACCATATGGACCCAGGGATCAAATCAAAGGCCATTAGGCTTGGTGGCATGACTTTCTACTTTTTGGGTTTTTTAAAAAAATATTTTATTATTTTTATGTGTATGCGTGTATTGCCTGCTTGTAGGTAACTGCACCCGTGTTATGCAATGCCCACGGAAGACAGGAGAGGCTGTCTGATCCCCTGGAACTGGAGTTACAGATAGTTGTTAGCTGCCTTGTGGGTGCTGGGATTTGAACCCGGGTCTTCTGTAAGAACAGCCAGTGTGTTTTACATTTATTTATTTGTGGGTGGGGGCATGCCAAAGCACCTATGTGGAAGTCAGAGGAAAACTTGCAGGAGTTGGTTGTCTCCTTTTGCCATGTGAGTTCTAGGGATCAAACTCAGGTTGTCAGAGAGTTGTCCGCTCGCTGTTTCCCTCTACTTCCCAGGCCATATTTCATTATGAAGTTTAAGAAATAGCCAGGCGTGGTGGCACATGCCTTTAATCCCAGCACTCGGGAGGCAGAAGCAGGCGGATCTTTGTGAGTTCAAGGCCAGCCTGGTTTACATAGTGAGTTTCAGGACAGCTGGGGCTGCAGGGAGACCCTGTCTCAAAAAGACCAAAGAAAGACCAGTGCTCTTAGCCACTGAACCATCTTTCTAGTCCCAAGTGACTGAATTTTTCCAAAAAAAAAAAACAACAACAGCCTTCTTGTTGACCTCAACCTTAAGAATTTCTTTCTCACTTTCTCTTTGTATCAAAATAGTCTTTCTTTTTACATACGCTCTGTGTGTATGCATACGGTGTTAACAACAGAAGCCAGAGAACTTAGTTTTCTTTCATGCAAAAGAAGCATAGAGGTTGGCAGGCCAGGGCTAGTATGTCGGTTCTGTGAGAGAGTCTGAAAACTTCTAGCTGTCCTGCTGTCTTTCTTAGCCCACGACTTTTGTCTTAAGGGTGCTTTGAAATTTTATTTTATTTTTAATTATATGTGTCCGTCTATGTAGGGGTATGTGCACGTGAGTGCAGGTGCCTGTGGAAGCGAGAAGAGGAAGTCTGATCCTCTGAAGCTGGAGTTGCAGGCTGTTGTGGGCTGCCTTCATGGGTGCTAGGAATGTTCTGTCCTGTGGAAGAGCAATACGCATTCTTAACTACTGAGCCACCTGCCCCGTCTCATGAGTGTCTTTAAGGTCCCAGTTGCCACTGAAGTTCTAGCTCTCATATCTATTTTCCAGGCAAGAAGGGAAAGACAGAGCAAAAATTCCTTCTTAACTACTTCCTCTGTACTAAGCAGTGAGGAGCCAGTGAGGAGTCACATGGTTCTTTTCCACCTAGAGCCATGTGGGGGAGTCAGACATCCCAAATGGAACCATACTTCAGTATGCAGTTTCTAATTTAAATTCATGCTATAAAAGTAAAATCCTAGACTTTCTGAGAGTATATTGGGGGAACCCAATTTAGATGTGAGGGCACAGGGCCTTTTTAGTAGCAGGTATCTGGGTAGCAGGTATTGCTGGGCTTCCAACAGTCACCCTTGAGGCCTAGTTTTAGCTAGTATGTTTGTGTGTATACATAGGAATCTTTTTTTTTTTTTTTCCGGTCCCTTTGAGACAGGTCTCCCTGTAGACCCAGCTAGCCTGGAACTCACTATGTAGACCAGACTGGACTTGAACTCACAGAGATACACCTGCCTCTGCCTCTCGAGTGCTGGGACTGAAGGCATAAGGCTACTATGCCCAGTTTTATACATAGGAATCTTTATATTCGTCATTCACAAATTATTGCTTCTGTTTAAGGTGTCTGGGAATAACTCATGATTTTTCTTGTTTCAAGCTCAGCTAGAAAGAAATCTGCTCTTTCCAGCTGGCATGGGAAGAAGAGAAGAAAGGAGTTGGTAGAGGTGAGTTTAATGTTCTCCCTCATGAAGTTACTCTCTTGGGATTATTTTTTTTCCTTTGGGTTTTCTCTACCCTTACCCCCCCCACCTCCATCTGAATGAACAAAATTTGCAGAAGAAATTATTTTTTTAGGAATAACAACTACGCCTCTTTAGACTCCTTTTCCCTCTCTGCTTCCTATAAGGAAGGTAAGGAGCATCTTGAAGAGATCACTGGAGCAACCATTAGCTACTCAGGAGGAATTTTTGTCAGTTAAAAACTAATGGCCAGTGTGATGGGATAGAATTCCAGTGGGAGAGGGGGCTGGAGAGATGATTCAGCAGATAAGAACACTTGCTGCTCTTCCAGAAGAGCTGGGTTCAGTTCCCAGCACCCACATTAGACAGCTCACAACTGCCTGTAACTCTTAAGTCCAGGGGATCTGACACCCTCTTCTGGTCTCCATGAGCATTGCATGCATGTGGTGCATTTATGTTTACTCAGGCACGGACACATACATGTTAAATAAATAAAATACTAAAAAAAAAATAAAGTAATTCCAATGGATTGGGGATCAGGAATTACAAGACCTGGACTTCCAACCGAAATGTGATCTTGTGTACATCACAGAACCTCAGTTGAGTACTAAGTCCGTGAAAGTAGTGTCTTGCTCCATCTCATTCACTGTTCAGTTCCTATCCCTAGCTCTCTGGCACATAATTAGATGGTACTTATTTGTTAGTTTGTTCAGCGTACAAATGACTTCTCTGGAAAAACTAATTCTTATATGATCTAAATATAACTATAGAGTGGGAAGCCCATCATGGGTGGCCTTCATGATGGAGAGGAGGTGGGAAACTTGGAGTGAGCCTGTATGTTAGTTACTTTTTAAAAATTTTTATTTATTATTTTTTTTTTTTGTCTTTCTGAGACAGGGTCTCCCTGTAGCCCCAGCTGTCCTGGAACTCACTATGTAGACCAGGCTGGCTTTGAACTCACAAAGATCCTCCTGCCTCTGCCTCCCAAATGCTGGGATTAAAGGCGTGCACTGCCATGCCTGGCTTATTTATTATTATTTTTTTTATGTGTATGCATGTATTGCCTGCATGTAGATAAGTGCACCTGTGTCATGCAATGCCCTTGGAGGACAGAAGAGGCTGTCGAATCCCCTGGAACTGGAGTTACAGACAGTTGTTAGCTGCTATGTGGGTGCTGGGATTTGAACCCAGGTCTTCTGCAAGAACATTTAGTGTTCTTAACTGCTGAGCCATCTCTCCAGCCCTGTGTTAGTTATTTTTAAAAAATTTTATGTTTTTGAGTGTTTTGTCTGCTGTATGCAAGTGCATCACATGTGCACAATGTCCATGGAGGCCAGAGAGAGCAGTGGACCCCTGGAACTTTAGTTACGCACAGTTTTTATCTGCTATGTAGGTGCTGGGAACTGGACCCAAGTCTTCTGCAAGAGTAACCAGTACTCTTAAGTGCTGAGTCATCAATTATTATTATTAGTGTTACTATTATTATTACTATTATTGTTGGTTATTGTTGCTGTGACCAAAATACCTGGGAGAACAACTTCACAGGAGGAAAGGTTTAATTATTTTATTTTTATTTTTGATCTTTTTGAGACAGGGTCTCCTTGTGGCCCCAGGTGGCCTGAAACTTGCTATGTAGACAAGGCTGGCCTCAATCTCATAGAAATCCACCTGCCTCTGCCTTCTGAGTGCTGGGACTGAAGGCATGTGATACCATGGCTGATGAAAGATTTATTTTGACTTGTGGTTTCAGAGGATTCAGACCACAGTTGCTTGGCCTCATGTGCCTGGGCAGAATATTGTCATGATGGGAACATATGGCAGAGGCTGTTTAGAACTAAACATAAAAATAAAAAGAAATTTTAATTATGATAGTGTATGTGTGTGTGTGTGTGTGTGTGTGTGTGTGTGTATGATTGTGTGTGTGTGAGTGCAGGCATATGTGTGCCATGGCATGGGTGTAGAAGTTAGAGGACAACTTTAAAAAAAATTTATTAAAAAATATTTTGGATTACATGTATATGTGTATATGTGTTGTATGTACCTAAGTGCAGTGCCTGTGGAGGCCAGAAGAGGGTGTCAGAATCCCTGGAGCTGGAGTTACAGGTGGTTGTAGCTGTCTGATGTGGGTGCTGGGAACCAAACTGAGGTCCTCAGCAAGAGCAGTGTATACTCTTGACTGCTGAGCTGTCTCTCCAGCCCCAGAAGACAACTTTTGAAAGTCAGTGTTTTCCTTCTGCCATAGGTTCTGGGGATAAAACTCAGGTCATCAGGTTTATGCAGCAAATGCCTTTTACCCACTGAGCCATCTTGCTGGCTCTCTAAGGTGTTTCTTAGTTCAGTCAAGTTGACACAATCTAGAAACTAGGTTCATGTGTCACAGTGGAATATTGGTGGGAAGAAACAGCTTGAAGAAAATGCCTCAGAGAATCCCTTGTGTTGTCTCTCTCTTCCAGAAAGTCAAGCCATCTTCGAATTTCCCTGGAAAACAGTACACAGAGACATACTTGAGAAGTCCAGGGGTGGCTGTGCCTCCCCGTGCCCCAGTCTTAAGTTCAGATTCCATACCTGTATGGGCTCAGGTTGACATGCTACCTCAAGATCTACTGAAGGAGTGGTGAGTGTCATGGGACCCTGGGGCAGCCAGAGCCCTGCTCTTCACTGAAGCTGAGAAGGGGCTAAATGATGTGTCTGAGCAGAGCAGAGAGCAAGCTGCCACCTTGCTTGTTTAGACCTACCAGCTGGCAAGGATAACAGTAATCACCCCCGCCATTTGTCAAGTACTGACTGTTCGCCAGCCCTGAGCTAAGTGCATTGTGCAGACTCTCATCTGAACTCCTGTTCTCCTTTCTTCTTATAAATGAATCAGGGATAAATGGGAGGCAGAATGGTGTATGTGGTTTGGAGTGTGACAGCCTTTGAACTGCATATTGACACTTAACTGGCTTTGGGAATTTGGGTAATTTATTTCACCTCTTTCTGCTTCATTTACAAAATGGGGGTGATAATATCTGCCCTCAGGTGTTGTAGTGGTTCAATGGTATAAAGCACAGGAGCCTGACATAGAGTAAGCCCTAATAGACTCAGCTGTGGTTATCATAGCTGTGTGGGAAAGGTGGTGCCAAGTGAACAGCAGCTCACGCAGGCCTTTCCAGATCCAAAGTGGGAATTCTTCACATTTGAGCTCTTTTCTTTTCTT